GTTGGTAAAAAGAGATTGAACCTCTACCGTTACCTTTCATAGGCAAATCAAGGCAGACTCCCCAAGTGGCTAACCACCTATTAAAATCATGTGTCTTGCCCCTCATTTGAATTTTCCTAGCTTTAACATTCATTGCCAGTTTGAGATGCTCTCCCTCTCCCAGATCACAGAACCTCTTACTCGCTAGTGCATCCTGCTTGCAAAGATGCTTCATAGGTGAAACATGTTCAGGTTATGGCTTTCCTTGAGCCTCTTGATTTAAGGCATAAGTCACATTAGCGCAAACATACCCCATCTCCCTGTCCTCCCTCCCTCAGAGTACCTCAGTTCTAGGTACCGCAGCCAAGAGCTAGGGACCAAACTGGCCTCACCCTTCTCAGCCATCCCCCGCTGACTACAACACGCAGGTGCAAGTCTTGCAGACGTCCTCTTTGAGGGCTTTCCTCATCCTCCCTAGAAGGGATGGATAATTCAGAGGAGCAAAACTTAGTGATGGGAGCTTGATCATTTGTGGATTCAGCCGCTACAAAAGTGTTATCTATCTATGTGGTTACGCGCAAGGATGAAAATTTTATACTGAAGTCCCTGAAACGCGCAGTGCTGGATTTCAGTCCTTTCCTATGGATACAGCCCGACATGAGACAATGCAACCACAGGCTGCCTACCCGGCACGGAACAGACGTTTCAGTGTGTGACATCACTGGAATTAGTGACTGACCTGCGTTGCTACTAGAGTCTCTTTTTCCATTATGCACCATTGTCCTCAGAAGACTTCATTTTCTTTCCTCTGCCACACCAAGGGTGCAGCAGTGCAGAGCCTCACCTCGCTCCCTCCCAGTTTGCAGAGGTGAGCCAACAGCATTCCAAAGCCTGGCAGGCAGGAGCTGCCAGCTGGCTGTCTTAAATATCCCCTGATAAGGCCTCTCTGAGAGATTAATTCCTACATTTGGAATTAATTCCAAATTCCTTGCATTTTGGGGGAGAAGGGTTTGAAGAACTCCCACCAAATTCAAGACCTTACAACTTGCGTGATATTTCTCCCACTGCGCTGACAGTTGTTAACACAGAACCTCACCTCTTCCATGCACCAGGTTTATTTTGCATGCTTCTGGCCTTATGTAGCCTAAATAACTTTACAGCACATGACAACTCTATTACAGAACTGCTTAACCCATTTTTTTTTCCTCCAAGTCATTAAATGCCACCCCACTAACAATTGTGCACAGCACAGCAGAACAGATATTGCAACGCATTGCACTGACTTCCCCCAACCGGCTTTTGATTTATGATGGCATTTTTACTCCTCAGATCTGTTTCACCTCAGTTCTTGCTTTGTTCTGCCTCAACGCTTGCAAGCCACATTATCAGCAGCTTTTAGGTATTCAAATACATTAAAGGAAGGTACTGAAAGATGATACGGTAGTCACGTTTTCCAAAAATCTCAGCTTTCAGGTAACAAAAGATTCCTAGAGTAAGATGGCAGCTGCAAACACAAGTCTAGGGTGACCAGCAGCCTTGCACCAGAACACAGAGGAAAGCCACCACCCCTTGTCCCCCACTGCTGCATGCCCAGTACTGCCTCCGAAGCTCGACGGCAGTGTTTCACCATTACGCTCAACATTCTCATTGCAGCAATAACTGCAATGGCCAAAATGAAGAGCAGGAGGGGAGCAAACCACCAAAGAGAGCTGAAAGGCTCCTCTGTCTCTCCCCAGCTGTAATGAAAGGTTTTCAGGCAAGCAAAGCGAGTAGAACGATGCTCGGTAAGAAAAGTTTTATTGACATAGTTAAAGCAGCATCTATTCCCACCTTTTGGAGGGGACTGACGTAATTTGGAGATCCACTAGAAACCAGATGGTTATATTGGGATCCCAACCACGAACTTTCTATCCCTGCCGCTGGGGTTATCAAGATAAACCGGTTATCAAGCTGAGACTATACTCTTGCATAGGAACCTTGATAAGCGGCAGCAGCCAAGAGGGACAGGTCAGCATCGCTCCTGAAAGGACAGGCTCATGGCTGGCCAGAGGCAAAAGCCCTTCTTGCTACAAGTTGCCCTAGAGCTGGAAGATTGCCATATGGCTCCAGTTTTGAGTTGCATGCTAAAATCGTGTATTTCATCAGTCTTAGGGAAATCTGCTAGAACTGGAAAAGCAGTAAGGCTGGAGAAGCAGAGGCAGGACTCAGCCTACCTGGAAGCTGCCACAAGGTGCAAGCCTTGTGCAGCGAGGAAAAGGCACAGCAGTGGGTCCACCTCCCAGGGACACAAGAGCGGCTAAACTGGGACAGACCAATGGTCCATCTAAGTCCAGGAATCTGTTTCCAGCACAGGGTGAGCACAGAGGGGTTTGTGACCACGGCAAGCAAGCAGCCATCCCTCCTCACAACACTCTCCCAGCCTCTAGCAGTTCCCAGCCTGTGGATCTTCCGAGCCAGTTGTGTTTACCAGTCCTTAAAGAACATTTTTCCCTTGTGCATACAGCTGCATTTTTCAACCTGCATAAGCTTCTAGCAGCCACCGTAACCTGCAGAAAGGAGTTTCATGGATACCTACACCTTTGGTGCATTTGATGGGTCCTAGGGTTTGGGGGTTTTGTGTTTACTGGAAAAGAGCAAGAAGCTGTTCCCTGTTCATCTTCTCCATGACACTAACAATTTTATGCACTGTTGTATCACTTCTTTCCCCATGATCTCTTTTCCAGGGTTAAAGAGGCCTGGACTCTAGCTGTGCCTCTCACAGAAACCATTCTGTAACTGATGAGGTATTTGTGCCCCCCTGAACAACTCCCAGTTTCACAACCCTTATTCAGATGGAGGGAGGGCACCAGAAATGCAGTACTGAAGTGCATGCTCAGGGAGGCAATTTTATACAGGGAAGACAACAATTTTGGCTATCTAATAATTCCTTTCCTAATAGCACCTAGCATTTATTTAATTTTTCTGAAAGACCCAGGAAAACTTCACTTGGGTCCTGTATGCCAGGCAACCCAGAGACCTCACCACACAGGAGTGGAGCAAGACAGTCACATTCGGAGGCTCCTCCCTGCCCTAATTCATTGGGAAGCACGGGGAAAAAGTAATTTCCAACTACAGGGATATTTGGTTAATGATTATTCAACACAAGAAGACAAAGTTAACAACCCTCCCCACAGACTAGAGTTATAATAAATTAAACACACAGATACATAAGCCCTGAAAAGTGGAAGATAACACAGGCTGTAGCAAAGATCAGGACGTCTGAGACACTGACAGACTGAACCATTACAGGAACCACTTAAGAGCAACCTTGAAGAGCTTCAGCCAGAAACTTCACAACTGATGAGAAAGCAAAATTATCGTGGGTTTCTTGGAAAAGAGCAAATTTATTATGGGATAGTTTGAGGGGAACTGTGGGGCCCCGTAAAGTTAATCACGCAATGCTTTAAGGAAGGTTACGGAAGCAAAACTTACTATGGAGTGGTTCGGGGGAGGATGGAAGGAGGAGAAAGGGAGGCATCAAGCTTGATCAGGGAGCAGTGAACATGAGAAATGAAGAGAAGTAAGTAGAAGGGGCCAGGCACACACAGACTGGCTGCTGGTCAGTGTGCCCATCTGGCTGGGCCCTGCACCCAGTTACCACCATCTGTCCTGGCCTTGTATTAAACTAATCCTGGCTGTTCCCTCTGCACACATGCGCATTTGTCACCTGCTAGCAAATGTCAAGCTGGAGTAGCCCCTAAGTAGGACAAGAGGTGTGAGAGCCAGATACCAGACAGACCTCAAGTAAAAACAGGATTAAGCCTTTTTTTTTGCCATTCACATTTTGCAAGCACTGTTTGTGTTTTCCTGGGCACCTACCACAGCACTTTGCTTTCTGCAAATAGCTCTGTGCCTGGTTGCATCTATAGTGTGTGTCTGCAGGAATTTCTGGAGTTCATGCTCAGCCTCACCACCTGCTGAGCTTAGTAACGTGGGAAAGCAGCACAGCAGACCAGGACAGAAAAGACTCCCTAGATCCTACAGTGCACTGCATTCAGTTGTCCTCAACACCAAACACAAACTCCCATGAACTCAAAGCTTGTCGAGAAAAACAAATAAAGGCAAAGCCTCAAGTGAGCTGAGGTAGGAAGACAATTGTAGAAACAGGAGTTATGCCTCAGGTCTGTTACACGCCCAACCCCACACACGCTGTGGTGGAGCAGAAGCTGGACAGTACCCTTGGTAGAAAGCTGATTTTAACGAATTGTCTCTGGAGAGCAGAAGCAAAAAAAAAGAATGTCAGCTCACACTGATGAGGGAAAAGGACCTGTGTGCTGATATTTAAAGAGAAATAGCCCAGACTACTGCTTGTTATGTGTCAAGGAGAAACAACCACATCTAGATGAATAAAAAGGCAAAACCAAAGAACACAACTGTCCCGCTCCAGAATGAGCACCACTTCCTGCTCCAGTGTGGGAGGCCAAGAACCAAAGGATTGCTGGGGACCGGCACAAGGGTGACACAGGCACAACCACACCCTGGATTAGCACACGGTGACAACAGAGAACTAGGGACCAGCACAGGTCCACCAGCCAAGGAGCTCCAGCCCTGCCCTGCCGAAGCACTCTGCTGACAGGCACCACACCACGCAACCTTCATCCAGGCAGCCCGGATTCCAGCTCCCACTGCTTCTTCACAAACATCCATGTCATGGAGCATAAGAACGGACACCAGAAACGCCAGAGCATCACACGGAGTGGAAGGGGTTACTGCTGCAGAGGAGCGAGGGGACAGGCAGAAGTCTGTATTCCGAGTTGAAGGGAAAAGGACAAGACTTGAGCAAGAGTATAAAACTTTTAATGGGTCGGTGAATCAGTCCTTGACACAGAGGGAAAGGAGCAAACGGGGCGAAAGCGGTCCCAGGCGCTCAGTGCTGCAGGGATTATCTGCGCGGAGCAGGAAAGACAAGGTGGCACACGCACCTGCAGCCCTCAGCCTTTGCTCTCCAACGAGGGGACCAACACCTGGAAAAGCAGTTCCTCTCACCGTCCATTTGGTTTCACCCTGTGCTTCTTCCTGGTAGGGCCTTGAGGACGCATCATTTTGGGAGAAGGCCGGCCAGCCTTCAAGGGTCTCCTCTGTGCCTGCAATGAATGTCTCTTCTTCAAAGCAGGCTGTGGTGCCTTCTGCTCTTTGCCAACTTTTGATCCCTCAAGTTTCTTCTTTTTTGGCTGAGGCTCCATGACAGTATCAGGGACAGCAGACGGAGTTGGTGCTTCCACAGTGGATTCTTCATCTGAAATGAGAGAGAAAGGTGCTGCCCATACGGCTTCTGCCGAGGAAGCAGCCTGTGAGAGCAGGCCCAGGCAGCTCAGCTGAGCTCCAGCACTAGGTTACCTTTTTGGGCCTGCGGGATGGCATTAGAGAATTTCTTGAATTTGGCAATAAAGAACCCATCCATATTGTGCGTGTGGGGATAGAAACGCCGCGTAGACTTGAGGGAGGGGTGAAAGCGACGATCCTTGAACCTGGAGGAGGAACTGGGGTCAGAAGTGATGTCGGAACGCCTCTGCTCAAACCCAGCCACCAAGGAACAATCACTTGCGCAGTGTGTGACCCGGCACGCACCTGGTGAAGCCTTCTTTGCCAAAGTCCAGGCCTGTGGCCACCAGACGAACGTTGCGTTTCTTCAGGGCATAATCCACAACCCACTCATTCTCCTCGACCTGCCAGAGACTGAGCATTAAGATCCAAAATTGACCAGTCCCCTGAGTAGGGGTAGAGCATGGAAGGGACTTACCGTGATGGAGCAAGTGCAGTAGACAATGTAGCCCCCTGTCTCTGAGGCAGCATTGACTGAATCTATAGCGCTAAGAATCAGTTCCTTCTGCAGGTGAGCACAGCGCAGGATGTCTTTCTCGTCCTGAAAGAGCAAGACAGGTTAGGATGCCAGAGGCACAGGGAAGCATCCTAGGCCTCTTTTGTGGATGGAGGGATGGCAGGAGAACAGACAATAGAAAAAAGTCTTGTGTCTTCTGCTGAACTAACCTCAAAAAGAAACTAACTCTGGTACAACATGCAGAATAGGAAAGAAAAGGAAAAATCAGTGTCCGTGTTGCAGGCATCTCTCAAGAACAAAGCTGCCCCAAACTCCTTCCTCTCATGACTCATACCTGAGTCCCCATCTTGTGTCCCCACCGGTCACTTACCTTGTTGGTTTTGACAGCAGGATCCTTGGAAATGACGCCTGTTCCACTACACGGAGCATCAAGCAAGACACGGTCGAACCCTCCAAGGACCTACAGGCAGATGTATGTTTGGAATTACACTCACAGGAGGGGACTCGGAACAAGACCAAGAGCAGAAGGAGAACCAGAAGGCTGGGAAGGCCGGAAAGACCCCTCACATCTCCCTGACCACCTTCCTGTCTCCACTTCAAATCACAAACACACTCTCCTACAGCTCTTCTCATCCTCCTGTGACAAGTGACTTTAGAGAACAAAGGGCCAGCACAACAGCTCTAGGTAAGCACGGTAAGGAGACATCAAAGCAGGCAGGAACATACCTTGGGGAACTGGCGTCCATCGCAGTTACTCACTACGGCATTGGTGACTCCCAGCCGGTGCAAGTTTCCTACCACGCTACGCAGCCGCTCGGCATTGCTGTCGTTAGCCAAGATCATACCCGTGTTCTTCATAAGCTGAGCTGCCGGAGGGCAAAACTTATCAACAAGGGGCTGAAAACCTCCCATGCTTTTGCCTTTAGGGATAGCCACCCACCTCCTTTCCCTGAGCTCAGTCCCCCTCTGCTCCCCCTTTCTGTATATGTCAGTGGAAACTCATTACTTGCATGCATCCCACCACCCAAGGCTCCAGGGGGGTACCTATGTAGCTGGTCTTGCCCCCCGGGGCACAGCACATATCCAGGATGCGTTCGTTCTCCTGTGGAGCCAGAGCCATGACAGGCAGGAGACTGGAGGCCCCTTGCAGCATGTAGTGCCCAGCCAGATACTCTGGGGTGGCACCTGGGCATGGAAGGCAGAACAAAAGAAGATCACATAGGAAAGAAAGGGAGCTGAGGAGCGGGTCAGCTCAGCCTTATGACAGGAAGGGTGATCTCACCAATGGGCACAGAGGAATCATAAATAACAAGTCCCGTTTTCGACCACTTCCCCAAGGGATCAAGATTCACACCACGGTTGATTAGAGCCTGCAAGCCAAGGAGATGGGACTGAGACACGGCCCCGTGTGACAGGCGGCACAGGAGACAACCACGGGCTCCTGCTCACCTGTGCCAGGTCCCGTCGCCGTGTCTTGAGTGTGTTGGTGCGAATGGTCACAGGGCGGGGAACCTCATTGGCTTCCAGGAAGTTTATCAGCTGGATTAAAGAAGGGACAGAGAACAGACATAAAGATGAAGACACGAGGAGGCAGCCAAATCCTCATCAGTCAGCAAAGACAAGGGCAGGGCAGGATCCCACCTCGGGGAGCGGGAAGATGTCCATCAGCTTCAAGAGCAAGAAGTCACTGTAGGAATAGTAGGCAGCCATGTCCCTGCGCAACAACGCGAGGTACTCCTGTCGTGTGCGTCCTTCCTCCCGCTTCGCCCCGAAGTCCTGCAGCACCTCCATGTTGCCCTTGATACGCTGGTGAATGACGTGCAGGTCGGGTGGCTCAGCAGGTAGAAAGACCATTAAGGAATCACAAACAGCCAAGAAACTCGCATGTGGGCTATTGAGAAGCACAACTGGTCACGAAGGGCTCCTGCATCACAACAGCACTCGCACCAGAAACAGCTTGTTGGAATATGCTTTCATCAGAACTCAGCAGAAGGGGAATTCAAAGGATGGAACCAGATAAAAACTTTCACAAGGCAGTAACTACAACACAATTAAAAGAATTTGGTTAGTCACTTTAGATAAACAGAAAAATTTAGGAAAAAGAAGACAACTAAAAAAGTGTTTTAGTACAGAAAACACTACCTGTAGCAGAAAGGAGACTAGAAGTTCCCCAAGGGGAACTAAGGGGTACAGAGGAGAATGAGAAGAGGCAGGGTTAAATTGTAATGTGGGGGGCAGAATACTAAAATTACTAAAGCCCAAAAGCAAGTGCTTTGGATGCATGACTTGCTGTCATAAATGGTTCTAGAAATGGGTTAGACAATCGCCTGCCAGGAAAATCAGGGTACAGAGGAACGAGCTACACGATAAGATATCCATGTGCATGGAAGACTAGGAAAGGAAATTTGGGCAGGCTCCAAGCTCCACACAGGGTGTAACAGATTTCCTAACTGTACTGTACAAAAGCACAGCATTGTAATACCTAAAAAATAGCAGCTCATCTAAAAAATACCTTGTCACACATAAAATACTCTTGCTAAGCAATACTTGCGACCAAGTCCAAAGGAAGCTCTCTGCCTGTATCCAGTTCCCACGCTGCTGCGTGCATGTGGCTTATGGATGTCACAGGTAAAAAGGATATCCTCTCTCTCAATCTGCTCATTAGTCGGCAGTTTAAATTCTTCATCTATATCCAGGTTGAGCTGCAGATCCGAGCTCTCTTCCTCCTTCTGTCCCATTTTCTGCCTGCTTGCCTCCTCTGCCTCCTCCTCCTCTTCACTGTCATCTTCACTGAGGCCTCCCCTAAGGAAAAAGAACAGGACAGATGTTTTAGAGGGTATCACACAGGCGCTTCACAACTACCATTTCCTAGGTGGCAGAAAGGATAGAATAATGAACAACACAGGTTCCTTCATCTAACCAGGAAAGACTGTGCAGGCTCACATCCTCACCTGTCAGACTTTCGCTTCAGGGCAGCTTTCTCGATAGGCAGCAACTAAACAGAGACAAAAGATTAATTAAACAATATCCCCACGTGCCTTCTTCCCACCATCTGTGAAATTTGACTTTTCTGTTTAAAAGGGACAACAAACAAAAGCCCCAAATCTTACGTTAGCATCACTGCTAAAGTGGAAATCGCTCTTGCAAAGGGAAGAAGGGGAAAGCTCTCCTCTGCCTCAACCATCCACGGCTCTCCCAGCAAAGCCACCCCTTTTTTCCCAGGCCTGATAGGTCCTTTCAGCCAAAGACAAGTATTTCTTGCATAATGAAAGGCAAGAAGCTCCTACCTCTTCTTCTGATGATGAGGCACCGTAATCATCCACCATCTCCTCGCTGCTCCCATCCTCATCTTCCTCCTCCTCCATCTCCCAGCTGCCCTCCTCCACCTCACCATCGCTGGATAACTCCACGTTGTTTCCTTTAGATGTGATTTTCTTGGCTTTGGCTGGAGCCAACCATTTAGAATTGCCATCGCTGAAGGCAGACTGGCCACGAGCCGTTCGTTCCACTGCCTTTATGGCATGTTCCTCCTTCTGTGGGGACACCTGCTCCTCAACTACAGGGAGGAGAAGCAGTTAAAACTTAAGCATTCTTCAAAAGCAGTCATCCTGTTTTTTCCAGCTGTTACACAAGAGAGACCTTCATCCTAGTCCTGAGCTGCCTGTCCAACAGAAGGTACAGCTCCCTCTCCGCATCAGTTTTCTCACTCATTAACATGAGCGTGTTCTCACCTATCCTCCAATGAAACTTTAAAGCATCACAGAGTGATTTGGGTTGGAAGCGACCTTAAAGAGCATCTAGTTCCAAGCCCCCTGCCATGAGCAGGGACGCCTGCCCCTGTACCGGTTTTGCTCAAAGCCCCATCCAACCTGGCCTTGAAGGTTGGAATTACCAAAGGAATTACTGGAATAACCAAAGGAATTACTGGAATAACCCAAGGAAAGCACAGCTACAAAATTTTAATGGCATTTGCTCTGATGTACTACTGTACCCTCCTTCCCAAACCTTGCTGTGAAGGGAGGATAACTCAGAAGTGACTTTAACACGCGGGACAGACCCTTCACTGGTTTGTCCTTCAGACAGCACTCCTGCCTGGCACAGCAGGGACCATAAATCAGGAAAAAAAAAAAAAAAGTCGTTTAAAATAATTAAGCTCTACTCATCACGTGCCAAAAAGAAAAACACCAAACCACTCAAACA